GGTAGTTCTACTCTGTCCTGTAGGGTCTCTATGAGTCAGAATCGACTCAACAGCAGTGGGTATGGGGATTACATTTGACATCCTAAATTATAACAATTTAGTTTAAATTGATACCCACTTAACTTCAATGAGCCCTAGTGGCTCAGTGGTTAAGTGCTCGGCTGCTAACCAGAAAGGTCGGTGGTTTGAACTCACCAGCTGCTCTGCTGGTAGAAGATGTGGCAGTCTGTTTCCATAAAGATTACAGCCTTGGAAACCCTATGGGGTGGTTCAACTCTGTCCTATAGGGTTGCTATGAGTCAGAATCAGTGACAATAGGTTTTAACTGCAACAGCATATGAAAACTCTATTGTTATATAGGTTTAGCCTCAATATGCTTAATATATTTTTTGTTGCACTCTGAATGAATTGACCAAATGGGTGAAACTGATTTTAAAATAAATTATGTTTCCCAAATTTCCTAGGGCATCCCTAGTCTGTGAGGACAAAAGAAGTCACATCAATAGCACTAATCCAAATTGCGTGCTTTCAGACTCCATTGACAATGTAGGGCCTGAGCCCCCTTTAAAGTTTGTTGGAGGTGCCTACCACATGCTTCTTCTGGGTACTGCTGTTGCTGGGTATGTGCTCTGGAGTCACTGCTGAAGGACTGGTGTTCTCTCAGTGCCATGTCGCCAGAGTGGTCTGTGGAGACCTTTGGGGTATCCTCTGCCAGAGAGTCCCCAAAGTCTAATGACCTTTTCTGGTTTCTTCTTAGAACTTTTCTGCTCTCCTTTGTACTTAGTGGGGATCGTTCAGCGTAGTGTTGAACTGGAGGCCAGCCCAGGACACAGATGCTCTCCTGTCCTCAGCATTGCTCATCTATCCCATCCCCAAAAGGGGAAGAAGGTGAAGATTCCCCATTCCTCCTGATTCCCTTTGGATGAGTTGTCTTCCAGGGCCATTTTGCTTCTTCTTTAAAAATAGCTTCCGCTAGGCCACCTATCAGTTCACCAGGCAGGTCTGAATTCCGTGGTGGAATTCCTGCTAGAATATGATTTCTTTTGCTGTAATAAGAACCCTGATCTAATAAAAGTGTCTGGGTAAGTCTGACCTTCAAGAAGTGTCCAATGTCCTTCAGGATATGGGTGATTCTATTGCCCCAATTGCTCTAGGAGCCCCATTTTTGCCCCCATTCCCTCCTTTCCCTGTCCCCTCCTTTGTTACTGCCTTTGATAAAGAGAAGTTCTCACCAGTTCTCCAGAGCAGGAACTGCTGTTGTGAAACTCTTGCTCTGTGCAGTGGTAACGGGATGCAACTCCAGGCTGGGGATGGGCTGTTCAGGTGGTCTATCCATTACAAGGGTTGCCCAGTTGATGTGGAGGATCTGGGCAGTTGTGTGAGACAGAGGGGGAGGAGACAGTGAATGCCGTTCAGGGCTGCTAAGTCTGCCCTTGAGCTTGGGTACCAAATCCGTTACTGCGGAGTCAATTCTGACTCACAGCAACCCTATAGGACAGAGTAAGTCTGCCCCATAGGGTTTCCAAGGAGCGCTTAGTGGATTCGAACTGCCGACCTTTTGGTTAGCAGCTAAGCTCTTGACCACTTCGCTACCAGTAAGCTTGGGTAGGGAGGCTAATTGCCTTGTCATAGAGTGGGGCCGACAAAACTCACACATCTTTTGAAACAGTTTTCTTGGAAGTACTATAATAGGATGTTTAGTGAACTTACGTATAATTTGCGTAAGACTTCCTGGGCAGTGCAGGAGATATGATCTTACACCACGGTGCTACTAATCCTCACAACTGCCTTTATTAAGTTTAGCAGAGTGAGCACCGTGCAGAGAGTAACCTAGGTTCAGCCACTCCCTCCTGGCACTTACACGTTACCATAGCAGTTGGAGAGGAAGGATGGAGAGGCATAAGCCCATGTCTGTGCCTTCTTTCCTGCCCATCAAATCCAGATCCCTTGTAGAGCAATTGGTTCCTTTTGATAATTTCTCTTTATTGATGTTCTCGGAAACCCTGGTGGTGTAGTGGTTAAGAGTTCGGCTGCTAACCAAACGGTCAGCAGTTTGAATCCACCAGGTGCTCCTTGGAAACCCTATGGAGCAGTTCTACTCTGTCCTATAGGGTTGTTATGAGTCAGAATTGACTTGATGGCAATAGGTTTGTTTGTTTTTTATTGATGTTCTCATTTTTTCAAACATCATTTTCCTGACTTCTTTTAGTTCTTTGTTTTCCTTTAGCTCTTTGAGTATATTTAATACAGTTTTTTTTTTTTAATTGTGGTAAATAGATACTTAACAAAACATTTGCCATTTAAACAGTCTTCCCATGTTCAGGTCAGTGACATTAATTACTTTCATTATGTTGTTGAACCATCACCCTTATCCTTTCCCCAATTTTTCCATCACCCTTAACAGAAGCTTAGTGTCTCCTTAATACAGTTGTTTTAAAGACTTTATATAGTAAGTCCATTGTCTGAGTTTCCTCAGGGACAGCTTCTTCACTTTATTTTGTTTTTTTGAATGGGCCATCCAGTTTCTTTGCATCCCTTATGATTTTTTCGTTGATAATTGAACATTTGAGTATTATAATGTGGTAACTCTGGTAATCAGATTCTCCCTCTTCCTCAGGGTTTGCTTTTTTTTTTTTTAATTGCTGAAGGCTATACTAATCCATTTGTTTAGTGATTTTTCCTCTCTATTTTTGCAGACTGCCTTCCTGGACGTGTGTGGTCACTGAAGTCTCTGTTCTTTGGCTTGTGTTCAGCTAGTGTTTTTAATAGAGAATAAAACAAAAAAAAGCAAAACACACTTCTCCTAGTCCTTGAAGATTTGGCTCTGTGCCGGGCCTGTCCTTTAACACTTAGCGGGCTTGCACTGAACCTAGGGATCAGCCAAAGGTAAGAGCATGGTCTTCTCAGGTGTTTTTTTTTTTTTTTAGGCTGTAATTTTTTTTTATTATTATTATTATTTTTTATTGTACTTCAGGTGAAGGCTTACAGAACAAATAGATTCTCATGAAACAGTAGTACACATATTGTTTTATGACATTGGTTAACAACCCCACGACATGTCAACCCTCTCCCTTCTGGACCTTTTTTTTTTTTTTGGTGAAAATACACATAGCCAAAGATACACCATTTCAAAAATTTCTGTATGCACAGTTCAGTGACATCGACTACGCTCTTCCAATTGTGCTGCTATTCTCACTTTACGTGAAGGCTTACAGAACAAAATAGTTTCTCATTTAACAGTTAGTACACATGTTGCCCTATGACAATGGTTAACAACCTCACAACACATCAACACTATCCTTACTCAACCTTGGGTTCCCTATCACCAGCTTTCCTGTCCCCTTCTGCCTTCTGGCCCTTGTCCCTGGACTGCTGTGCCTCATTAGTCCCATTTGGTTTTATGGGGCTGTCCACTCCCCGGCTGAACGGTGAACCTTGGAAGTGACTTCACCACTGAGCTAAAAGGGTGACCGGGGGCCATACTCACGGGGTTTCTCCAGTCTCCTTTAAGCCAGTAAATCTGGTCTTTTTTTTGTGAGTTAGAATTTTGTTCTACATCCTTCTCCAGCTCTGTCCAGGACCCTCTGTTGTGATCCCGGTCAGAGCAGTCCAGTCAGTGGTGGTAGCCGGGCACCATCTAGCTGTACTGGACTCAGTTTGGTGGAGGCCTTGGTAGTTCTCAGGTGTTTTCTAGCATGTATCTTGCCTTCAGCATGTGTATGGCTTTCTAAGTTCTCCCATATATATGGATGCTACTGAATGTCCTGATTTCCCAAAGAAACTCTTCCCAGGTTCTCTTCCCTGTCCTTTAGCATCTATTGTATGTTTCAATCCCACTCTTTAGCCCTAGGTGCCAACAGGTGGTTACAGTGTTTGGAATGTGGGCACAGCTTTTCAGCCCTGTATGAGCTTTGAGATAGGCAAAAGAGAGGAAGCCAGGCTTGAGTCAGTCCTTTAGGCAGCCCCCAGACAGGTCAGAACAGACACACACAATAATTTGCAAATATGGTCTGCTCTGTTTCTTCCAGAGCCAGGGACCGGGATTCCTCTCGGGGAATGTGGGCTGCTTTGACTTTAAAACTGCCATGGAACTGGGGTGAGGGCAAGGCACGGGTGAGTAGAAAACATCACAAAGCTTTTCCTGAAGTAGTCTTTTTGTTGATTCAGAGTTAGCTTGGTTGCTGTAAACCTTTGACTGGTTTCCAGAGTTCTGATGAGATTAGTTAGGCCAGATTCTACTTCTTTCTTGGGGTTTCTGTGAGGGCGAAGGGAGCATGGAACTTCTTAGACCAGCATCTTGCCACAAGCCCCCCTGTGGAGTAACTGGAATTCTCACTCACTGCTGGTAGGAGTGTAAAAGGTACTACCTCTTTGGAAAATAGGTTGGCAGGTTCTTAAAAGTTAAACATACACCTACCATGTGACGTAGCCATTTCATTCCTGCATATTAACCCAGGGGGAAAAAAAAGTATGCGTATACACAGAGATTTGTCCACATATATTCCAAAGAAGCTTCATTTGTAATAGTCAAAAATTGGAAACAACTCAAATGTCCAGCAACAGGTAAATATATAAACAAACTGTAATATATCCATAAAATGGATACTATTCAGCAATAAAAAGGAGCTATTGTTATATGCAACAATATGAATTAATCTTAAAATAATTATGCTGAGTGAAAGAAGGCAGACAACAAAGAGTACAATACTGTATTATTTCATTTATACAAAATTCTAATAAATGCAAACTATAACGACAGAAAGTAAATCAGTGGTTGCTGGGGAATAAGGGGAGAGAAAAGAGGGAGAGAGTATAAAGGGGCATGAGGAAACTTCAGGGTTAATGGATATGTTTATTATTTTGAATCTGGTGATGGTTTTATAACCAGTTAACCAGTTGCCATAGAATGGTTTCCAACTCATGGCAACCCCATGTGTGCCAGAATAGAACTGTGCTCCATAGAGTTTTCAGTGGTTGATTTTTCAGAAGTCCCTCACCAGGCCTTTCTCCTGAGGTGCCTCTGGATGGACTCAAACCTCCAATCTTTCGGTTAGCAGCAAGCACATTAACCATTTTCATCACCCAGGGACTCCTGATGGTTTTATGTGTATATATTAAAGTAAAACCTCATCAAATTCTACAATTTATGTGAAATTTATTATATGTTAATTTAAAAAAAACTTATTGCCATCGAGTCGATTCTGACTCACAGTGACCCTACAGAGTATCTCAATATAAAGCTGTTAAAAAATAAAAGAAAAACAGATTCCAAAATTGAGATTTCTGACAAGAAACTACTGAAGAACCCAAGACCATGTAGGCTTTGCTTCTCATGAATCCTAAAAAGTGGGCACCACAGTTGAGTGAGAGAGGGAGTGTGGAGGAGAAGCGCTAAGGTCACTGGGGTCTTACTCATGGTCATGGATTTGCTGAGCCGGAAGAGACTTTAAAGAGGAGGAAGCCCATCTCCTTCATGTCAGAGAAAAAGCCCTGAAAGCTGAGGTATTTGCCAAAGTTGCACAGCTCATCTGAGACAGATGCAGGACTGGACCCTGTCCTGACTCCCTGACTCGTGTTCCTTCCACCCCCCACACCACTGTCTGTCCACATAAACACTGTCTGCCTTACATCACCAACTTCTAGAAGGTAGGACTGGATATATCAGAGGGTTGGGAACGGCAGAGGGAAGGGCACAGATCCGGTGGGGGTGGCAGGGGAAGTCCAGTCCTGGGCAGGTCTTGGTCAGGTGACCTGGGAGTCTTCTCTCCGGGAGCAGAGTGGGCAGCAGCGCTCTCTCTTGTTGTAATCTGTGGAGCAGGCATGGCAAACCAGGCCTCCGCAGAGCCTGGGGCAGAGACAGGGAGGACAGGGGAAGCCTCTGCAGCCTGGCCAGGGGAGTTTGTGGGCACGTGGGGCACAGTCAGGGAGTTTGAGCATCTCCAAGATACATCTGCCTGTTTCTCATTTCCCAGTAGAAGAGCCCTAGGTCTGTTTCAGAAGGGCTTCCCTTTCCTAAAGGATCTCGTGATTCCCCAACCCCTCCAGAGTCCTCCAACTCCAATGGTAGGTTCTTGTGATGGCTCACTTTTCTTCCTTTTGCTGTTTGTCCTGTCACTGTGTTTGCAGAGGAGGTGAGGGGGCCACTTCTTCTGTACAAGAAGTCTCTTCCCAGAGGAAAAGCCCATTAACAAGTCTACTCCTTGAAGGGTTGCACAATTCCATATTCCAAAACCCAATTCCACTGTTCTTGCTCATATCTCTGCTTAGTGTTGGAAGCCACATGGAGTAAAATGAGGGATCAGCTTTAAGAGGTCTTTTATAAATACCCAGTTCCTGTGTCTCCCACTTTCCTGGAGTGGGAAGGGGGCTGTGGCTGGTGGAAACTGGGCTGTCTCAGAGAATGGATTCTGTACCTGTCTCACATACCTGCATGGATACCGCCGAGACAGCCGCCCAAAGATCTTGCTGCAGCTGACACAGCATTCAGGGGCCACAGAAGAGAGATGCTGGACCTTCTGCCACAGGTTGTCCTTCTCTCTGATGGAGGAATGGAGGTGGATACATATACACAAAGATAGACAGACAGAAGTAGACATAGATGGAGATATGGAGGGACAGAAAGAGCAACATGGAGGGAAACAAAGGGTAAGAGAGAGATGAAGAGGGTGACAGAGAAAGTCACACAGTGATACACAGAAAGAGATGAGGAACAGAGACAGAGACAAGGAAAGAAAGACAGGAAGACATAGAGAGAAATGGAAAGTGAGACAGAGTCACTCAGAGAGAAAGAAATATAGAAATAGGAGCATAGGAGAAGGAAACAGAGAAGGACCCAGAGAAGCAGATGGAGAGATACATGCAAAGTAAAAGACGAAGATACAGAGAGAGAGGAACAGAGACACAAATAGGAGGGAGAGGCAAATACAGAGAAAGATGAAGAGACAGAGAAAGAGACATAAGAACAAGGAGAAATGAACACACACACACACACACACACACACACACAGATCAGTTAGTCTCTAGGATTTCAGGAAGACAAATGGTGACGCCAATCTCCCTCTCATCCAACATAACCATGACCCATTATTTAAGAACCTGTTTATATCCCACCTTCTTCGAGGAGTGCTTCCTGATCACAGGAGCCCCAGAGGTTCTTGCTCCAGATCCCTCTAGTACATAATGCCTATTATCTTTTATTTAGCACTTAGTAAAGACTACCTTGTATTTATGTATATTTATGCCCTTGCAAAACTATTTTAATTTTTTTAAGGGTGTTTAGGAATATAGGTTATTTTAAAATTTTTATCCAAATAATACACATACATGGTTTAAAAATCAGATAGTGCAGAAGGGTTTATATCAAAAGGCACTACACACTCTCCCCACTCCTTCCCATTCTTAGTGCAAGACCACCTTTTATGACTTTTAGATTTTTCTTCTTGAAATTACTTCCATATCAAAGTAATATGCTTATAATCCTCCTTCTTGATTTATCAATAGAGAACATTTTCTATAGATTTCCTTGATATCAAAGGATTTAGCTTATTTATTACCTTGCTCACTATCTCCTCTTTCTTCCTCCCAGTGTAGGTATGTCTCTATTTTTGGTTCCTCTGCAATTTCCCATAATATGCTCACATATTTAGCCAGGATTTTTTACTCCCATTCTGTAATATGATGATGCCAGTATTCCTTCTCTTCAGCTTGCCTCCTTCTCCCACCTCCTAACTTGTCATCTATTCCCACAGTGTCCAATATGGTAGCTACCCATGGCTACTTAAATTAAAATTAAATAAAATTAAAACTTCATCTCCTCAGTAGCACGAGCCACATTTCAAGTGCTAAATATCTACATGTTACTAGTAGCTACCATATCGGACAACACAATTACAAAACATTTCCATCTTCACAGAATGTTCTATTGGATTCCATTCTTTTGTTGTTGTTGTTAGGTGCCGTAGAGTCGATTTCGACTCATACCAACCCTATGTACAACAGAACAAAACACTGCCCAGTCCTGCGCCATCCTCATGATCGTTGTTATGCTTGAGCCCACTGTTGCAGCCACTGTGTCAATCCATCTCATTGAGGGTCTTCCTCTTTTTTGCTGACCCTCTACTTAACCAAGCGTGATGTCTTTCTCCAGGGACTGGTGTCCCTCCTGATAACATGTCCAAAGTATGTGAGACGTACTCTTATCACCCTTGCTTCTAAGGAGCATTCTGGCTGTACTTCTTACAAGACGGATTTGTTTGTTCTTTTGGCAAGCCATTGTATATTCAATATTCTTTGCCAGCACCATAATTCAAATACATCAATTCTTCTTCAGTCTTCCTTATTCATTGTCCAGCTTTCATATGCATATGAGACGATTGAAAACACCATGGCTTGGGTCAGGCACATCTTAGTCCTTAAAATGACATCTTTGCTTTTTAACACTTTAAAGAGGTCTTTTGCAGCAGATTTGCCCAATGCAATGCGTTGTTTGATTTCTTGACTGCTGCTTCCATGGGTGTTGACTGTGGATCCAAGTAAAATGAAATCCTTGACAACTTCAATCTTTTCTCCATTTATCTTGATCCATTTGTGAGGATTTTTGTTTTGTTTTGTTTTTTTATGTTGAGGTGTAATCCATACTGAAGGCTGTGGTCTTTGATCTTCATCAGTAAGTGCTTCAAGTCCTCTTCACTTTCAGCAAGCAAAGTTGTGTCATCTGCATAACACAGATTGTTAATGAGTCTTCCTCCAATCCTGATGCCCCATTCTTCTTCATATAGTCTGGCTTCTATACTTTATATTATTAAGGTTGGTAATATTTACATTCTGTTCATAATTACAATTGTCTTCTGTGCTTTGCCTTTAGGTTGATTCTAACATAGAAAAAAAATCAATGAATAGTATTTACATGATTAAACAATATGTATACATATTGCTTCCTGAAAAGCTAAGATGTATTCTTTGAACATGTCCCTTCCTGTTTTTCTAGGAGTTTCTAATTGCCTTTCTGTGTCCTTGCCTTACTTGCCTTTAACATAGCCTAATTTTTTCCCTCCAAACTCTGTATCATACCAAGCATTCTACTGATACCTCTTCTTCCCAGAGACTCTCCTCCTGAGTCCTTGATACTTCTGCTACAGTCTGGACTGACTGCTCCCTGGGCCTGATGCCCACTCGTTATCTTGGGAATTCCCTTTTCTTTCTCCTAAGGTAGAGCCGCATCTTCTTCTTTCTTGGCTTACTTCCTTGTTTTTCTGGAGCACATCCTCAATTAACTTCCTAAGAAATGTTGTGTGGTAAGTGAATTTCCCGAGACTTGACTATGAGTTGGAATCCACTTTAATGGCAACGGGCTTGGTTTTTTGTTTGATTGGTCTGGAAAATATTTTTACTCCATTGTCTTCCCTACTTGATTCATAATTTGGTGGACATGCAATTTTAGGGCAAAGTCAGTTTTTCTCAGAACTTGAAAAGTGTTACACCATTGACTCCTGACATTCATTGGGTTCTCCTTTTATTGGTGAGCTGTCCTTTCCTATAGACAATTTGAAGATATTCTTCTAGTCTTTGATTTTTCAGTCTCTGAAATTTCACAATGATGTATTTAGGTGTGGATCTTTTCCTTCTTTCTTTCTTTATTGTGCTGGTCACTCAGTGAAATCTTTAAATCTGAAGATTTGAGCTGAGAAATTATCTAATATTTTTCATTTGATAATTTCTTCCATTTTATTCTCTCCTTTCTTGGCTTGTGTCAGTTGGAGACGATATTAAAACTCCTGGATTGATTCTTTGTGTCTCTAATGATTTCCTTTGTATCTTTCATCTCTCTGTTCTTTTTATTCTACTTTCTGAGAATCTGCCTATCTTTCTCTTCCAATCCTTCTAGTGAATTAAAGAAAATTCAGTGATCATATTTTTTATTTCCAAAAACTTTTCTCAACCTTTGATGGTTGTTTTCCATAGCATCTTGTTTCAAGGGAGCTATCTCATCTTGAATCTCTCCATCTTTTTGGGAATATTAGTAATTTTGTTACGTTTTTAAGTTCTTTTTATCTCTTCAATGGTTTCTTGTTTACTTATTTATCTTTGTTTCTCCCCTTTGTGTTCTAGACTCTACCCAAATGTCTGAGGATCCTTGGTTGCCACTTTATGTTTAAGAAAGAGTCAATACACGTGGAGTGGAAGTTCTGTACAGTGGACAGGGATGGTTGAGTAGTAGTTTTCCTTCAGGGAGATTGGGCAGGGAAATACCTGTTATACCAGGCTCCCAAATGCCAGAACGCACTGGTCTTTTCTTTGGGGCACCTAACCTTCTTAGAGAAAGATCTTCTGATTATTTGTCTGGAAGACAGATCTCTGGCTGCTGGATGTTCGGCATGTGAGGAGCCAGGCAGGAAGCAAGGGGTGTTGACAGCTCTTTATAGTGACTTTATCAGTTGATTTTCCTGATTTCTGCCCCTCATCTCACTGTCGCCCTCTGTGTACCTGGCGTCTCTGGGTCCTGAAGTTCTGCATTGCTGATGGGCTTTGCCCCTCTCATGCTTATCTCTAACTTGGCCTTCATCAATATCCACTACTCCATCTATTTCCCAGTGCCTGGAAATTTGCTGTAATCTCCCACTGTGGTTGGCTCCTCCATCTTTCTCTCCATTATACGTTTTATTCTTTTACTACTATTATACTGAGATTTCAGGATGGAGAATAGGCAACATGTGGTCAATCTACCATCTTGATCCAGAAGTCAACCTCTGTGACTTTTTTTTTGCTTAGGTTACATCTTCCACAAAACTTCTGCCAGTGACATTGTATCGTGTAGTTTCAGTTTCCTGCCTGAGGACCCCTGTGAATAATTTCTTTAGCACCAGGAAAGACGTTTGTCTCTCCTGATGAACTGGTATATTTCCCTGGAATGGAGAGTGAGATATGGGTAACTCTCTGTTTCTCTTTGTGATCCTGTCACCAAGATGCTCAGAGCTGAATTCTAACCCTAATCCTGATCCTAAAAATTCTAGGGTGTATATTTTTCTTCTTCCACTATAGCTTCCATTTAATCTTCTATTTTTCTTTAACAATCCCATTATATATGCCTTTTATTGTTAGATGCCTTAAATTATTTTTTGAGGAAAATAGCTAACCTTTTGTATCTCCCTTCTTCCAACTGACAGTTTTCTGGAAGAGATCACTCCTTAAATTCTTTGTTTGTCCTTTTCAAGTTGATCTCTTCCTTTTTTCACCTTTAATACCATTTAGATTTTGTGCAAGAGGATTTAGTCCTAAATGATCCTTCAGCAACCTTCCAATTCTAACGGAACCTGAGTCCAATGGTCTCCTACTTTCTGAACTATATGTATGTGAATTATTTCCTCACTAGGCTGGAGGGCAGAAACCAAGCTTTACGTATCTCCCCATCCCTCAGTGAATTCAGTGGTCTGGGATTGATCCTGACGAGCCTGGTCCCTGGAACTTAGGACACCTGACCCAGGACAGGCTAACAGCATGGAGGCAGGTATAGGGCATGCAGTTACCTCTTAGTTAACCCCTGTGTCTTTTTCCTCCCTGTTCTCCCAATTTCCATGGGTTCCTTTCCCTTCTAGCCTTAGTAGGTATGTGTGTATGTGTGGGTGGGGTGGAGAGGGTATGTGTGTGAGAGTCAGAGGACTCTCTGCAATTTATATGCTGTGTGTCTTTGGTGACCAAGTCAGCCTCTCTCACCCTTGGTTTCCTCATCCGTAAAATGAGGATAACAGCAGGGGTGGCTAAAAGAAGGAAATCAGTTAGCATATATGAAAGATCCAGAACCCTGCTTGATAATTGTTGTTGTGTACTGTCCAGTTGATTCTGACTCATAGGGACCCCATGTGACAGAGTAGAATTGTCCCATAGGGTTTTCTAGGCTGTAAACTTTATAGACGAGCCCTGGTGGCACAGTGGTTAAGAGCTCGGCTGCTAACCAAAGGTTGGCAGTTTGAATCTACCAGCCACTCCTTAGAAACCCTATGGGGCAGTTCTGCTCTGTCTTATAGGGTCACTATGAGTCATAATTGACTCGTCGGCAAGGGGTTTTGTTTTGTTTTGTTTTGTTTTAACCTTTATGGAAGCAGATTGCCAGGTCTTTTCTCCTGTGGAGCAACTGAGTAGGTTTGAACTGCCAACCTTTCGATTACCAGCTAATCTTTTAACTACTGAGCCACAGGGCTCCTTTGGTAATTGTTAGTGGAGTGGAATTTCCATGTCCCAGTCTCTACTTCCCATACCATTCCCCTCTTCCTCTACTCCCACCCTCTGCTGTCTGCACCCTTACTGGATCAGTTCCAACACCCTCCTCTTCATGGCCTGGACCAAGTCCCGCTGCCCGCCAAGCTCCTCCTGGTACATAGCATCTCTCCTCTCAGCCTCCTGTTGTTTCCGCGCTAGCTCTGCCTGCAGCTGGGCGCTCTCTTCCTGACACCTGAGAACAGAAGGAAGATTAAGGACTAAAGGAAAAGAGGCCTGGGTCTGCCTTCTTAACTAAGCCAGGCTGGCCTAAGCCTGACAGGGAGCCCCCTGGGAGGAGCTTTCGGTACTCACCCAGCTGATGTACACACACACATACATGCACACGCACACACGCACACACATGCACATGGAACCCAAACTGAGCACTGTGTCTGGTCTGACACCTCGAGGTTTGACTCCTCAACAGCTGTTCAGAGAAATAAAATCTGGGCTTAGCCTTGCCTGTTCCTTTACAGGAGATGAACCAACGCTTCCACTTTAAAATGTCATTTTCTTGAAAGGATGTTCACAATCACAACAGCTCTATGGAGGAAAGGTGGATGCCTGGAAACCCAGGCAGGGGGTCTGTGCCCAATGGAAAACACTTGTGGTACAGTGGGGAGGCAGGATTTGGGGGGAGCTTTTGCTTTAAAGTATTTTTAAAAATTATGCTGCATTGTCTTTTCAATTAAAAAAGTAATATTAAAAATATGGCTTTGCTATTTGTCTTTAGGGGCTTCCTAGAAGGTTCCAAGAAATCTACTGGACTCAAAAAAATCCTAACCCACGTCCTAGCGTCTTACTCCATTGCTCAGAGAGGAAGATGTTGTGATGAGGAGCGTGCACTAGTGTGCACCCCATGACCTCAGGATGTGTGTGTGTACGTGTGTATGTGTGTGTGCGTACATGCACCGTCTCCTTGAGTGTATTCCAAGGGAAGAGGCTTAACAGTAAATGGAATTGTTAATTTTTTAAACACTGCCATGTAGCATGCTGCAGGGAATAAAGCTGGGTGTGTCGAGAATTCAAACCAACGACTGCCACTGAAATTCCAGAAAGACGAGTCACTGGTGCTCAGGCATCGGATGCAGGGCCATGCTTTGACTTTTAATGGACATTCTAGTCTTCAGCGTCCCCTTTTCTTAGCAGCCCCTCCTGTGAGCAGTGCAGGCATTAATGTGATCACTGTGGTGTGTGTGCATCTTCACAGCGGGAGGGAACACTTATTAAACACCTGTTGTTGTTATTGTAAGGTCTCTTGGTGGTGCAAAATGTTTGCACTTTGACTACTGACTGAAAAGTTAGTGGTTTGAACCCACCCAGCAGCACCATGGAAGAAAGCCCTTGCCATCTGCTTCTGTAAAGATTACAGCCAAGAAAACCCGATGGAACTGAGTTCTACTCTGTAACATATGGGTTCGTCATGAGTCGGAATCCACTCGACAGCAACAGGTTTGGAGGGTTATTTTTTTGGTTGTTATTAGTTGCTGTTGAGTCGATTCCAATTCATGGCAACTTTATAAGTAACAAAATGAAACATTGACTGGTCCTGAGCCATCTGCCATTTTCAAGGTCATTGGGACATTTGAGTCCGTTGCTGTGGCTATATTAAGCACCTAAAACCCATTGCCATCGAGTTGATTCCGACTCATAGCGACCCTGTAGGATAGAGTAGAACTGTCCCATAGGGTTTTAAAGGAGTGGCTGGTGGATTTGAACTGTCGACATTTTGGTTAGCAGCTGAACTCTTAACCACTGGGCAACCAGGTTCCTTATTAAGCACCTGCTGGGTACGAACTGCTGTGGCAAGTGCCAGGAATAGAGCAGTGCCTAAGACAAACAGAGTTTCTGTCCTGGTGGAGTTTACAGTGTGATCAGGACCCATAAAGCAGATAAAATAAAATAAATGAGGGGCTGAGACAGAGAAGAGAGAGGGTGTTCAGGGAAGGCTTCTCAGACAAGGTAACATTTAAGCAGATCTAAAAGATGGGAGGTAAACCCTAGCAGTGTGGTGGTTAAGAGCTATGGCTGCTAATCAAAAGGTTGGCAGTTAGAATCCACCAGGGCCTCCTTGGAAACTGTATGAGGCAGTTCTACTCTGTCCTATATGGTCACTATGAGTCAGAATCGACTTGATGGCAATGGGTTTGGTTTTTTTTCTTTTTTAAAAAAAAGATGGGAAGAAGATGCAGAGTTGGCGAGGGGCACATGCAAAGGCCTGCAACTTGGAAAGAACCTGGGTAGTTAGAAGAACTGAAAGAAGGCTAGTGAGGTTGACGTGCCCTGCACGGTGGGGAGAGAGGCAGGAGATGAACTGGGGAGTAGGCAGGGCCTGATCTGCCCCAGGAGGAGTGGACTTTAATCTCAGTGCAAGGGGAAGCCATGGAAGTGTTTCAGGCAGGGGGTGAGAGACACTCCTCGTGCAGGAGAGGACATGGAAGGCATTAAAGTTTATTGAGCGGCTACCGTGTGCCAGGTGCTGAGCTTTATATTTTACAGCCTTGTTTCATATAACTTTCACAGTGAGGCAGGAGATGAGCTGGGGAGCAGGCAGGGCCAGATCTGCCCCAGGAGAAGTGAGATAGGTAATGTGATCCTCACTTTACAGGACAGAAAACAGAGCCTCAGAGAGGGCATGACACTTGCCCAAGGTCACACAGCATAATGACTGGGAGGAGCAGAAATCTTAATACAGACTTGTCCAGCTCTAAACTCTTTCTGCCCCCCACGCCTTCATCTGCACGGGCCCCAATCACCAGTGATCTGGGGCACCCATGTCCAGGGTGCAGCAGGTAGGAGAGAGGGATGAGCCCTTATGAGCCCTTGGCAATATCACAAAGGAGCTCACTGCTGCTGTCCACAGGGCAGAGAGAGATTGTGATGTTGGCCTAACTCCCCATCTGAGGACCTCTTTTGTTTGCCCCGTCCTGCTCTCTTTTGCTTCAGTCTTACCCAAGGGCAGAGGAAACCCACCCACTTGGAAAGACCGCCTTACAGAGCAAGATCTGGAAAGAGGAACCTTACAGATCCAACCGTCTCCTTTTGCAATTCAGGAACCTGAGGCCCAGAGAGGGGAGGCCACTTTCCCAGGGCCCCACAATCACAAAGTTAGCCATGAAACTAAGTTCTAAGTCCATTGTCACAGTCCCGGGCTGGTCTACCATGGGGCCTGCTGCTGCCTGTAGGGTCTGCTGCACTCCCCTTGGCGTCTAGCTTGGGGCTTTGTACATGCGAGCTTCCACCCCTGCCCACCCTTTGTCTGTTCTCCACACCACAGCCAGAGCGATCCCTTTAAAAATCTAAGTCAAACCATGAGACCCCCTTGCTCAAAAGCTCCCAAACCAGTTGTCAAGCCAGCTCCTACTCATGGTGACCCCATGTGTGTCAGAGTAGAACTGTGCTCCATAGAGTTTTCAGTGACTGATTTTTCAGTAGATCACCACGCCTTTCTTCTGAGGTGCCTCTGGGTGGATTCAAACCTCCGACCTTTGGCAGCTGAGCACGTTAATTGTTTGCACCACCCAAGGACTTCACAAACCTCCCTAATGGCCTCTTATAACATGTAAAAGAATACCAAACTTCTCACTCTGGCCCTCAGAGAGGGCTTCCCAACCCCAAATCTAAACTAATACCCTGTGTCTATTTCCTGTCCCACCGTTTTCTTCACATACGTGTACTGGGTTGAAGAATGTCCTCCCAAAATTTATGTTCCGGAACATGTGAATATGAACTTATTTGGAAATAGGGTCTTTGCAAATGAAATCAATTAAGATGAGGTTGTACTGGATTAGATTGGGCCCTAAATCCAATCTGACTGGTGTCTTCATAAGAAGGAAATTTGGACACAGAGACACAGACACACAGGGGAGAAGTCATGGGAAGACAGAGGCAGAGACTGGAGTGATGTGTCTACAAGCCAAAGAATGCCAAGGATTGCTGGTAACCACCAGAAGCTAGAAGAGGCAAGGACGGATCCTCTCCTAGCGCTTTTGGAGGGAGCATGGCCCTGCTGACACCTTGATTTCAGGCTTCTAGCCTCCAGAACTGTGAGAGAATAAACTTCTGTTGTTTGAAGCCACCTATTTGTGGGACTTTGTTATGGCAGCCCTAGGGCACGAATACACCACCTGACGTTTTATTTCTGTTTGTTTATTTATTGCCTGTCTCCCAGGTCTTTGTGAACAGGCATTGCCTGTTTGGTTCACTGTTGACTATACCTGCCCCCGCACCCCGCTTACCTGGCACATCACAGAGGCACATTAGATATTGTTGAGAAATGAATGGGTCCCTTGGCACTTCTATTCACTGGTTGTGAGATGCCTGTCACCAGCTTGATACACATGGTCCCTTTTCCCAGAAGTACGGTGTTCATCCACAGCTCTGGCTCCTTGGAGTCAGGGGGGCACGCTCTCTCCCTAGCCTCAGGAACTTGTTCCTCCTCATCTGCATTCTGACCACTGCCAGACAGCTCTCCTGATCTCCACACTCAACCATTGCCCAATGGCTCCATTCAGATGTCTTACAGGGGCTTCAAATCCAACATGTTCAAAACGAAACTCCTAGATGTTCCCCACAAACCTTTCCCACAAGGCTCTATCACAGCCTTCCCCATCTCGGTTAATGGTGTTTCTATCTTTCCAGTTGATGAGATAAAAAAACTTGGAATCATTCACGACTTCTGTCTTTCTCTCAGACCCCACATCCAATACCTCAGGGGGCCCTACTCTCAAAATTTATCCAGAATCCAGCCGCTTCTCCACACCTCCATGGCTACCAGCTCGGTCTGAGGCACCATCTGCTCCCTGCCCGCATAACAGCAGTGGCCTCCTTGCTGGCCTCCCTGCTCCACCTTTGCTTTTAAAACAAGTCGGTTTAGAAAAGGCAAATACATAGAGACAGAAAGTAGATTAATGGTTGCCTAGAGCTGAGGTGGTTAGGGAGAAATGGGGAGTGACTGCTAATGGGTACAGAGTTTCTTTTGGGGGTGATGAAAATAATCTAAAATTGATTGTGGTGATGGATACATAACTCTGTGAATATTCTAAAAACCACTGAATTGTTACAAAAAGCAAATAAACATATTTTTGACACACACAAAAACAAACAAAAGTCAGATCATGTTCCTCCTCTGCTTAGAACCCTCAATGGCTCCCATCTCACTTGAGTCAAAGCCAAAGTCTTCTGGGTGGCCTACCAGGCTCTCTCGAACCTTGCCCCTATCACCCATCTGACCTTTCCCTATACCCTCTCCCTCCTTCACTCCACTGGGCCCGCAACAGCCTCCCCAGTGTTCCTAGAAACTGCCAGGCCCATAGCCATCTCAGAGCCTTTGCTCTTCCTGTTCCCTCCTCTATCATATAACCAAATGGCGACTCTTCTAATGCATATCCAACACTCTTCTATCATGTATCCAAATGGCTTGCTCCTCATTTCCTTTAAGTCTTTACTCAAATATTACCTTTTCAGGGAAGCCTGCCCTGGCCATGCCACTTTAAAATATCACTTCCCATTCCCTTTCTCCACTTGATTTTTTTCTTCTTAGAACAACTTACAATTTAACATTCTATATATTGTACTTATTGTATTTATCAGAAGCTCCATGAATGCAGGAATTTGCCTGCTTTGTCCACGAGTGTATTTCTGGCACATAGAACAGACCTGGCACAGAGCAGGCACTCAGATAGTGTGTGGAATGATTGAATGGCCAATGGAATGACAGGTGTCAAGACAACTGTCTGTGAGGCAGTGGCTACCCCAGCCTCAGGGAGTGGCCAGGGGCCTCCCAGCTACAGCCTCCAGCCTGTCTGATCCCCACAGAAGATGATCAGACAGTAGGCAAGGCCCTCATGTTCATTCAGGGCCTGAACCGTCGGAACCTTTGCTAACCAACCCACCCAGCTCAGCTGAGGGTATGGTGGAAGGAGCCCCAGGAGCCTTTTTGGGTTGGTTTCTGGGCTTCTGGGCCTCTCACTGGTTAAGCAGGCAGTCAATAGACTAACCTGTGATTCAGCCTGAATCACAGCTACCCAGACTCTGCTGGGGGTCAGGCTGGTCCTCCCAGCCCTGGGGCAGTGTCAGTCCTGCGGGAGGGAGATACAGGCAGGAGGGCAGACTGAGCATACAGAGACACAGAGACTGAGATAGACGAAGGAAGACCTTTGCACAGCAGAGAGATTTAAAAATAAATTATGAAAGAGAAACTGAGACACTGAAATATAGGAACTCAAAATACTGGCTGAGGGGGGTGATGTTTAAGTCACTGGTTCCAGAGTCATCTGCTAGGGTTTGAATCTCAGCTCCTCCCCTAACTTGCTGACTTTGGGTGAATAGTGTAGCATCTTTGAGTTTCAGTTTTCTCATCTGTAAAATAAGGCTACTTATAGAACCTACCTCATAAAGCTATTATGAAGAAGCACCTAGAACAGTGCCAGGGACACAGTAAATGCTCAGTGAACGATAATTATAATAAAGATCATGATTATTAGGCGAGTGAAAGAGAGATTGTGCAACAGGGCATGAGAAAATGACAGGAAAAGAGGGAGACTGAAAAAGATAGTTGTGGGGAGGAGTATGGTGGGGACAAGGAGGCAGAGTGGATTGAAAAGGGAGAGGAGGGGCCCGGAAGAGGTAACAGAAGGAGGCAAGGGTGAGGGTGGGAGGAGCAGGGGGTGTGGATCTCTTCTGGGGGCTACTGGGAAAGGCCAGTAAGGGAAGGCGCTGGCAACGAGGAGGGGACTGTGGGAGCCCCTTAAGAGCAGGAACAATGCTCTGCATCCCTCAGCATCCAAAGTTGTGCCCAGCCCAGGGCCTGGCACACGGGAGGTGCTCAAAAGATGCTCTTGGATTTAACCATGACTGAGACCAAGAGCCAGGGAGTGCCTCCAGCCTCTCTGGTCTCCTGGCTGTCCTGCCCATTCTTGCTGGCAGTTGCCAAGGTTACCTGCTGAGTTGCTTCTGCAAGGCCTTCAGCTCCCGGTCCTGTTCCATCAGCAGCTGCTTCTGGTGCTGGCCCTGCTCCTTGGCCTTCCGGAGTTGATGTCTGAGGCTCTGGAAGGGAGGGAAGCACAGAGGAGAAAGGGAAGCTGAAGGAGTAGGGCAGAGACCCCAGCCCAGAGACCAACTTGAAGAACATCCTCACAAGACTCCAACCATGTGAGATCAGCCCTTGGGTGGAAGGCAGGACTGGGAGCTGGGATGCCTGGCTCTGTTCTAGGTCCTGCCCTGGGAGAGCCTGAGGGACCATTTCTTCCTTCAGTGGAAGGAAGTAACAAAGCTCAGGGACCTGGAAGAAATCTGGCCAAGGAGGAGGATGAAAGAAGTCTTGATAACAATCTTGGGTAACCTCCAGGAGAAGCATGTACAATAAGAGCAACCAGGTGAGGTCTGCAACAGCAGAATGTAGGTATTTGGAAGAAATCTGCCAGTAAGGAGGGGTATAGGACTTGAGAGCACATGATTGCCCTAATGAACTATTGCAAAGGGATTTCAAACCCAAATGCCTTCAGGGGCTAGGTGGGTAGTATCAATGCATAAAGTAGGCCTGGTGTGAGGCAATAGAGACAGGTGGAGACTATGGTGAACTAAAGAGTGCATGATTTTCGAAACACATCCCTCAATAATAATAATCTTGGGTGGGTCAATACAAATAGAATGCCCCCCCAGGCTGACACTGGAGACCTCCATCTGTAAGCCAGATTAGAGAGTGGGGAATAGACAGGCCAATGGCTCTCACCTTGACCACATCCTGCAGGGATGCTTCTGCTTGCGCCTCTCTCCCAGCCACGCTGGTTGCTCCTGTTCGTTTTTGTGGCTTCTCTGTGGTGGAGTCTTCCCCTTTTTCCAGGCCCTGAAGGACCCAGTGCTCCCCCGGGATGCTTGGCACCTCTGACTCCTGCCTCCTCCCCCATGTTACTTCCTCTATTGTCCGTCTGGGGCTGGATGTCAGCAGCCTCTGGACATGACCCCACTCTGCTTCCCCTTCATGAGTTTCCTCTACTGATCTCTGAGTTTCTGCTCCTGGAAGTCCCCCTCTGCCCTCAGCCTCTGTCCCTATCACCTCCTTCGGAGCCCCCTTGGACCCCTCCCTCTGTCCCTGGATGCTGGGTGTTGAGTTCTGCAGGCAGATCCCAGGCCTTGGGGCTCCCTCACTTTGGTCTTGCTGAAGCTCCTCCTCTGGTTCCCACCTACTCCGGGGGGCTTTGGGGCTCCTGGGATCTTCTCTCTTCTTTTCCAAAAAGGGAGGAAGATGCTTGTGTGGCTGGGATCCAGAGAGTCCCGCAAAGCAGTCTCCCCTGGGCACATCTCCCAGACAGCTGGCTTGGTTGGGGTGTGGCTCCTCCTGATGGACACCTTTGGGGCCTCCACATGCAGCTGAGATCTGCAGAGAAGCCCCCAAACCCATCACCCCTCTGAGCACCAATTCAGTGACCTGGGGCATGGGAGAGGCCACAGCTCCAATCCAATGGGCTTGTTAAATATATGGATGCCCAGGCCCTCCCTTGGAAAGTTTGATTCAGCAGATCTGGGGCAGGGCCCAGGAATCTGAATCTTCACAAACAACTCAGATGATCCGAGATGCCCACTTTGATCTGGGGAGGGCACAGTGGTGATTCTCAAGGCCCCTTCCTCCATTCTCTCTAGCCCTCAGCCTCCCGTTGTCACCTGTCACCTCTGGCTTCTGCATTGATCTGGTTTCCCCAAAGGTCCTCCCACCCCTCTTTGTTGATCCCACCTCCTAAACTTGACTTCATTGTGCCTCAGTATTCTATCTGCAAAGTGGGGATGATAAAACCCACTTTGTAGGATTGTGGTAAATTTTTAAATAGATGGAGACCCAGTTAAGTCACTTCTTTCAAGAAGTCTTCTCTGTCCTCCCATGTTCCCTACACATGTCTGTATCACTACACTTAGTGCCTTATATTGCAACGGGTGCCTTTAGGTGTCCATTTCCCTGAACAGAACTTGAACTTCATGAGGTCCGAGATAGAGTACTAATAGTGTCTGTACCTGGTGCCTGGAAGATGGTGGGGGTGCCATACGTGCTTGTGGAATGATAATAACAACAATGACGAGCACATGGCTGGGAGCCTTGCTCTGTGCTACACATCGGTTGTCTCGATTCATTCTCACAATCACCCTATGAGGCAGGACAAGTAATTTGCGCAAGGACTGTGGTTAGTAAGGGGTGGAGCTGGGATGTGAACTGGCAGTCTGGTGCTTAATTGTTCCCCGAACTGAAATAAGACATTTGTAAATTGTCCAGCGTAGGGGACACCACAGAGGTTGGTTCTCTTGTCCATTTCCTGAAAGCACTCTCTTTGCACCTCCTCCTCCTCCTGTGGGTCCCCATGGCTCCTGCTTGTGTTCCCTTTCTCTCCTAATATCCCCACCACCTCTCTTCCCCTATGGCTACCCAGCTCCCAGGTCCACACATTGGCCTCTCTTTCTGTCTGTCCAGGTGGGACAGGGCTCAGTTACTGCTCAACCTGGGGGTCCCGACAGAGATGGAGAATAGGCAGCTCAGAGTGCAGTGGGTCAGAGGCACCTTCTTTGGAGAAACTTTGTCCCTTCTGGGTCTTCTTCCCTGGGTTTTCCTGGAATTGGAGCAGCGTGACCTGAAAGTGAAAGGGTTGGGGAGACCCCTGTGATGAGTCTAGCAGTGGACTTAGGCCTCAGATATAGGATAGCCCATCCATCTACCATGCATTCATTCTACTACCTTTCCTGCCCTCGCATCCTCACAAATCCCACTCTCTATCCATCCACACATGCCACCCTTCTCCATTTATCCATCGATTCCACCCCAACATCCCACCCTCCATTCATCCATACATTCCACCCTCCTCCTCCATTCGTCCATCCATTCCACCCCAACATCCCAACCCGTTTATCTTTCCAACCCTCCACCCAAACTACTCAACAAATCTTCAGTGAGTGCACCCTCCGTGCAGCATCATGGGATAGCACGAGGTTACACTGGGAAAATAGAAGGCTAGGGAAGTGGAGAACTAAGGGGCCAGGGAGGGAGAAGGGAGGGGAGAAACGGATGGGGCTGGAAGCTGAGCATTTGAGGCTTGCTTGGGAGGGTGGTGGTAATGGGGGCAGGCATTGAAAAGAGGCCTCCCTCCACACTGCACTTACTCACTCTGAGAACATGGGCCAGGCCCCATCCAGGTCTGGCCGCTGCAGATCCAAGTCGAAGGCCACCCCATTGAGAGAATAGAGAGAGTCCAGGATGTCTTCCTGGAGTTCACGGCACACCAGAGGGCTCCGGGGGCCATACCATTCCCTGGTGTAACAGTCACCAGCACTCTTGGCCTTTGACCTTAGAGCTATCACCACTCCCAACCCCAGAGAATCAGCCTCCACTGCACACCATAATGGGACTGTACCCCAGGGAGGGTGGTGGCCCTTTGGGGCCAGAACTACGATGCTACCAGGACTTTTGGGTTCATCTCCCCTCTGCCTTTTCTTCCTTGGCTTTTCATTTTGGAATCTCCCTTTCGTTGTCCTTGATATTAAACCATCCATCTAGGGGCTAAGGAGGGATCTTTCAAGATGAAGGGAAAATGGGCTCATATGGTATCAGTGGGAGATGTCAGGAAGCACTTCCAGAAGCCCCACCTGGTGAGCTCCGGGTTCAGAAGGCAGAGCTGCAGGGACTCGGCCAGCTGTCCATGGGCTAGGCAGAAGCGGATGAAGGCTCGCCCTTTCCCCAATGGGGTCTTCAACTGCAGAGTCCACAGAGGGCAGGATAGGGAGGTGGCATTAGGCCTGGGTGGTTAATGCAAACGGTTAATGTGCTCAGCTGCTAATTGAAAGGTTGGGGGTTTGAATCCATCCAGAGACACCTTGGAAGAAAGGCCTGGTGATCTACTTCTGAAAAACCAGCCATTGAAAACCCTATGAAGCACCATTCTACTCTGACACATGTGGGGTCACCATGAGTTAGAGTCGGCTTGATGGCAACTGGTTTTTATTAGGACAGAGGAAGCTCAGCCAGCTTAGAGAGAGAGAAGATAGGAAGTAGTGGTTGATGAGAGAGGGCGTACTGGGACTTGAAGGCTGGGGGGATAGGAGGTGGCTGGAGAGATGCTGAGCGCAGGGCCGATGAAAGATGAGGCTCAGGTGAGGGGGGCTGTGGGGGTCATTGGTAGGAGGGATGGATGAGAAAGGGCCCTCAGATAGGCCTGTTTCCCCCCCAAGCCGTGCTTGCTGAGGGCTTGCTGGCAGGGCCCCTTCATGCTCCCTGAGGCCAGCCTTTCTGCCCTGGATACCTTCTCTTGTGAACGGACGAAGCGGGATGGCTCCATGTCCCCCCGCTGCTGCCACAGGGCAGTGCTGAGGAAGTCCCAGTAATCCTTTCGAGGTCTCAGGAAGCTCTTCTTCTCCTTCTGGTCAAACTGCGGCCGAGCATGAGAGAGAAAAGTATAGAAATGCCTCCTCCCTGAACTCCCCTTTCAGTCCAGCATGCCCACCTGCCCGCTCTCTCCCTCAATGGGAGGGCACATGGCAGAGGAAAAGGGCTCATGCAGACGGACCCGGCTTGGTACTGGCTGTGTGACCAGGAGCTAGCTGCTTGACCTCTCTAAGCCTCAGAGTTCTCATTTATTTGTTTATTCGTTTAAAAATACTTACTGAGCACTTACTATGTGCCAGGCCCTGTTTTAAGCCCTGGTGAATACAACAATGAACAAACTGACCTCATGGAGCTTGCTTCTTGGTAGAGAAGATAGATATTGAACAGCCTGAATCAGTAGAACATATAGCATGTTAGACAGTGCGGGCTACTAAGGAGAAAAAATAAACCAGGAAAAGGTAATAGAAAGTGTGGTGTGTGGGGGGTATGTGTGTGCATATGGAGTGTGTGTTTGTGTGTGAGGGTGTGTGTGTTTGTGTTTATTGACAATTTAGATTAGGGTGGCCAGAGAAAGCCTCACTGAGGAGGCGCTATTCGAGGCCAGACCTGAAGATGCTAAGATAGTATGGTGCACCATGCACATTTCTGGAGGAAGAGCCTCCCCGGCAGAAGCAAGAGCAAGTGCAAAGGCCCTGAGGTGGGAGTATGCCTGCATGCTCTAGGAAGATCAGGGAGGCCAGTGTGGCTGCAGTGAGCAGATGAGCGACAGCCTAGCAGGAGATAAAGTCAGAGAAGTAGGAAGGGTGTTTGTGGGTGGGAATGGGGGTGGGGCAAGTAGTCAGGCACCATAGTGGGTTACAGTGAGATTAAATGAGGTGGAATGTGTAAGGGCCTTAGCCTGGCACATAGTAAATTCTCAATAAAAGCTAGTGCTAGTTATGACTGGGGTTCTGACCAGCAGCAGAAGGGCCAGCCCCAGCACATCCATACCTCTGAAGCTTGTCTTCAGAGCAGAGTGACTGTCCTCAGTCCCTGGCCCCTCCCCACCTGGCCTTGTCCAACTTCACTTCCCAGGCTGAAATGACAGCCCCCCCAGAGTGAGGTCAGACATTAGGAAGGACTTGCTGACTCCCAGGGAGAAGAGACAGTGGATGGTAACAAAAGGAGGCAGTGGCCCTTCCCTCAGCATTTGGGAAAGTCTTCCCTAGTCACCTGGGCCTGGGGAAATGGGGAGGGGAGAGAAGGGGAAGACCCCACCTGCAGGAGCAGCTCCAGGCAGCCACAGAGTCTGTGCAGCTCAGCGCTGGCATCAGTCACTGACTGCTGCCCATCCCCATAGCCCTGGAGGATCGCAGAGACGGCAGCTACACAGAGGACAGCAGACATCAGACATTAGGTAGTGAGGGCTCCAAGGAAGAGGCTTCCCAGATCCCTCACTTCTCCAGCTCAGTTCCAGAAGATCCCTCAGGACACACTCACCTTTCAGGTCCCTGGTGACCTTGAGGCCAGCTGACTCTTCCATCATGGGCATTTCAAAATGAAGTGATTTCTTGTGACTGAGACTGTCCTGGCCCTGGAAGGTCAGCCCGGGAAGGACCTCTGGGCTCAGCTGTCAACTCTCTCCTTAGACAAATGAGGAGTCAGAGGCCTAGAGAGGGAAGGGGACTTATCTAGGGTCACACAGAGAGTTAACTAGTGAGTGGAAAGACCCAGATCTTTCTTGGGACCAGTGTGTGAAGGCAGTGCAGCCTCTACTTATGAGTTCCTGGGTGCCAGGCACTGTGCTAAGTGCTCTGCATACCTTATTTCATCAGTCCCTACAATAACCGGATAAGGTTTATTAACTCCATTTCATAGAAGGTGAAATTTGGGCACAGAGAGGGTAAGTCTTTTATCCAAGGTCACAAAGCTATAAATGGTGGAACTAGAATTTGAACTGAGGTCCAGCTGCCTGTGTTCTCCGCCCCAACTCGATGTGGGTGGCCCTGTGGGTGCTCGTGCTGTGTGGCAGCCAGGCCGAGGGTTCTTCCCCGTGGGAAGTCCTCAGTCTCTCCAGGGCAGTCATCACCCTCAAGACACACTCATCCTTTCCTGAGCTCCAGCTGAGGGGAAAAATGTGTGTGCTTCAAGGAGGGGGGCAGAGGTAAGGCAAGGCTCCAGAGCAGGGGCTGGGCCAGAATTCTGGGGGATGGGAGCCAGGACACTTGGTTTCAATCCTGCCCCTCTGTCCCAGGGGAATCTCAGCCTATTCCTGGGGCTCAGAAAGGGACACAGTGGCCCTGTGGGCTTATTCTGAGAACCTGGAGTCAGGGCCAGGCAGGCTGTGGTTGCAGGAGTGTGGGGGTGGGGCTGAGGAGAGATGATGCAATGGGACCAGTGGATGGGAAGGGAGAGGACAGTGAAGTTAAGTAGGTAGTGGGGGTGGGGTTGGGTGCAGGGAGCACTGGGCTGAGAGTCAAGAGACCTGGGTCTCCATCCTGGCCCTGCTGCTAACTTGCCCATGTAGTCACTCGCCTTCCCTGGGCCTGCATTTCCCCATATGTAGAGCAAGGGGTTGGACTGAGGGTCTCAGCCACCCCTTCCAGCCCAGATCCTCTATGGAATCCACGAATATCTAGCGTGTCCCTCCTGCTCTCCCTCTTCTCTATCTAGAACCCTTTCTCCCTAACCCTTTGCCCCTCGCTCCCGCCATCACTCCCTTTCTCCAGCCATACGTAAGACCCAGGGGTCTTCGCAGGAGTCTCCCAGCTACTCACCTGGGAAGGCTGGCTGGTTGGGGCAAGAAGAGCAGGGCTCTGCAGCTTGAGCTTGTGGCTTGCGACTGTGGATCCTACACAGTCTTTCCAAGAGTTTGCCGCCTAGGAAGTGACTCAGGCCCAGCCCAGTACCCTGGAAGGGGAAACTAAGCTCAGAGGGGGAGGAGCAGAGACCCTGTTGGGGAGAGAAGTGGTAGAGGCTGGATCAGAATGGATGAGAGGGGGATGGTTCCTCTCAGGCCAACCTGGGGTAGGCTCACTTCTTGGTCATCCATGGTGGTAGCAGTTAGTTAGCTAGTTACAAAGTTACCTAGTTAATTATCCAGTTACGTATTTAGTTACTAGTCACCTAATTAGTCACCAGTTAGATAATTAGCAACCTAATTACTCAATCAACTACTCAGTTGACTAGTTAGTTAACTAGCAAAAATAACAGACTTTGTAACTAGTTAACAGACCAGTCAATTAGTTAGATACTTAGTTAAGTAGATAGATACTAGCTCATTACAGTTAGTTAACCATTTGACTAGTCAGCCAAACTAGTTAACTGACTCGACTAGTTTAGCTAACTAGTCACATGACTAGTTAGTTGATTAGGTAAATAAGTAACTAGTTATTTGACTAGTTAAATGGCTAGTCAGCCAATTAATGAGTTAGTGACTAGTCAACTAGTTATATACTTAGTTACCTAGTTAGTCACCTAGTTCACTACTTAGTTACCTAGTTTTCTGAGGCGCCTCTAGACGGGTTCCAACCGCCAACCTTCCAGCTAGTAGTCCCGTGCTTCACCATTTGCACCACCCCGGGACTCAGGTGGCAGCAGCAGCAGTATCTGCTGTTCAAGTTTCCTCCCGTTTTATCACCTGCACTTGCAGTTGTTTTTCTCCTGTATCGCCACCAGGTGGCAAAAAGAGGCTGTGATGCTGCCCCACTCGATACTTCTGTGCTAGTCTCTACCATCACTCAGTTGGAGTGTGGCGCAGGTGGGGAGAGAGGGAGGGTCCCACCACGTGTCTCTCTCCTTCTCCTCCCCATCTCAGTCTGCTGAGGGGACCCCGTGGGTGCTGGTTGCCAGTGCCATCCTCTCAGTCCTGATAAAACCAAACCCGTTGCCAGCGAAGTCGGTTCTGACTTACAGCGACCCTCCCAGAAAAGTGGAATGAGACCACAGTGGGATGCTGGGTCCAGGAAGGACCGGTGGGTTGCCCAGGTGACCTGTGGCTTCCCCACCCTGGTCATGCTCTGGTTCCACGCCCCCCACCCCCGTTTTTCTGGACTCCGCTGCCCCAAGGGCTGCTGCTTTCACTCCCAGGAACGCAAGTAAACACTAGCACACTCCATGCCCAAGCCTGTGGCTCCCGCTCACCCCATTCCCTCCTTGTCTCTCTTCCACTATCGGTGCTGGTCTCCGTCGTGCAGAGGCTCCGTCCCCCAATCTCTGTCCACCTTTGTCCCCGTCTCCCCGTCTGTCTCTCTCTCAATTATCTCTCCATATTTGCTTTTTGCCCCTCTCGTAGCATTCTTTCTGTTCTTCCCAGACTCAGCCTGTGCGCCGCTCCGGTCCCAGGGACCCCCGCCGCCGCTCCTCCCCTTGCCACGCGCGCCCACGGGTCTCTCTCCGTCACATGGGGCATTCGGGCGCCCATGTCACCGCCTGTCGCCAACCTCACACTCCCGAGCTTCCTGGTGGTGCGGACCCAGAGGGCGCGGACTCTGGGCGGGGGCCCGGGTACGGGCGCCGCCGCTCGGCACCCGACTGCGTAGGCGCGCTGGGCCGA